TATGCTGGGTCACAGATGTGCATGAATCATATATATATATATCTTCAGTAGCGCAATTAAACTTATTAAAAAAAGCTAATCTCTGCGATCGAGTATGAAAGCGACCACACTGTAGTTTGCATGCCGCCACAGTGACATTAATGTTTTATGTTTGCATTGGGATCACGACGCAATATGAAGGCAAAACGTGGAAGTTTGGTCACACTGAAAATTTTCAGTTGAACTCTTGCTGGGACTCTCTTCAAAATCCCAGATCTGCCCCAAGGCCCTCAAAGACAAAAAAAAAAAAAAATTAATTGACCATTACGTTACCCAACCTAGTTTTAACTTCGCTGTTTCTGATACCTTAGTGAAATATGTGTTGTGTCATATGCTATCATAATCTGAGGCTCTCTGCCAGTGTCACACTAGCATCTTGTACTTACTGAGAATAATTGCGAAAAGTTGTTCAGATAACTTTTTATCTTTAATATTAAATTTATTCACCTAAATTTCGTAGAATCTGCATCTTTAGTCGCTGTTTTTTATTCCATTTTTTTATTTTTCAAATGTGTTTACTCTGTATACATTATATAGATAGGCCTATAGGGTAGGTTATGCTAGAAATCCACAGCACCCGCTGCTTTCATCGAAAAGCGGTAAAAAATGAGAAACAGATAGGTGTAGTAAGGTGGAACATGCTGTAACAATGAAAACTGTCACTGACTGGCAATCGTTGGAAACTCTGGCCTTATCGGCGAGCAACGGTTTTTTAAGCCTCCTCTCAGTCCTCAACTTACGACATACGAAACTGTGTATCTTTGTATTTTTGAGGTATGTACACAGTATCCTTGAGACTTGCAGCCCAGATTTCAGCTATCATATAAAAATATTATCATGAGAATTCTCCTTTACACAGCTTTGCATGAAAATTAAACCACACCATCAGCTGGTATTATATGACTCTGTGAACACAAGTGAAAAATAGTTTTCACGGTTATGTTTGGATTCCTTTCATTCAAATTAAATTAAATTGGCTCCATTTTTGCTTTACTATATGTATATCCTGAAACCTTTATTTTGATTCCGTTAAAATATTTGGAGATATCCTGCTCTTTGCAATATCAAAACATCTCCAAAATATTGGTCTTCAATTTTGATTCTTTTTAAAAAGCCTTTTGACAGTGTTTGAAATGTCTATTGTATTTCTTTGTTTGCACAATTTTAGCCAGTATTTCTGAATAGCAAAATTAAAACAAATCTGGAAACAGGATGTTGCAACGTTTATCCTTCCTAGCACTGTAGTTTATTTTCTTTTGATTAAAAGTCATGCAAATGCATAATTACAGAAATAATTTATTTTCAGAAGTTGCATTCCACTCTTAAGGACTTTTACTGTACTTCAGTTCTCACCATTTGCACTTGAGCAACTGGCATATACAATTTGTGTAAAATAATGTACACGTGAACAGACTAACTGAGAAAAGCATATGGATGCAAATGGTTAAAGTATTTAGTGTCATCTGAAGAAACAAATTTAACATCAAAACTGTCTTTGTCGTCACGAAAGGAAAAAACATTCCAACCCCACATTCCACCAAATAACCCAAATTTTTACATGAGGGCAAAAGTCGGGTAGTATATGTGATTATGCCACGGTAGTACTTCACAAACGATGAAGACATTGTTCATCAGGAGCAGAATCTTTTGTGAGGCTTCAACCCTCCGCCCGATCTGCAGATTTTGCCAGAAGGATCACATTAGAGAGCAGTATTAATTATAACTGATTTCAAACAAAAAAGAAAAAAGACTTTTCCTATATTATTATTATTATTTTTATTATTATTATTATTATTTGACCCCTTGTCAATATCGGTGTTTTTGAAATGTGCCTATAATATCTGCCACCCTGGTAGAGGGTAGAATTAAGCTATCATACAGAAATTTATATTTAAAATATTATCATGACAGCTTTTATTAATACAGCTTTGCATGGAGATTAAACCACACCATCAGCTGATATTATATGGCTCTGTGACCACAAGTGGAAATTAGTTTTTAAGGTTATGTTTGGATTCCTTTCATTCAAGTTAATTTAGAATAGCTCCACTCTTGCTTTGCAATATGTATATCCTGAAGCTTTAATTTTAATTCCACTTAAATATTTGAAGATATCGTGCTCTTTGCAAGAGCAAAACAACTCCAAAATGTTGCTCTGTCATTTTGATTTTTTATAAAAGCATTTTATGACAGTTTTTAGAATTTCCATTGTATTTTATAGTTTGCACAATTTTATTTCTGAATAGCAAAATTAGAAAAAAATAATAAATTCATCTGGAAACATAGGATTTTGCAACGGGTATCCTTCCTAGCACTGTTACTTCATTCATTCATTTATTTATTTATTTATTTATTTATTTATTTATTTATTTATTAATTTATTTATTTTGTTTATTTATTTATTAACTTTTTGAGTAAACGCCATGCATGATAACGGAAATTTTTTTTCAGAAGTTGAATTTCACTCTTTTAAGAATATTTTATTTCAGCTTCTTTAAAGATAAAACAAAACAATTTCCAAATATATAAAGTAATGTTGTCCTCGTCTACTGTTTCATATTTGCTGAGTGAAGCTTTGTGATAAAAAAAGGGTTCAACTTTATTTAACGTGCGTGCTGGGTTCCTAAAATCGTAAACCAGAATGATGTTCCCCGATTGTCCTGTCATTTCATTCTTTTATCATGGATTTGACCAAAATGAGTGAAATTTTACTCCAGAGGAAACATTTTGAAACATATCTGGGCATCATTAGCAGCTTAGATTAGCAGGCCAGAAGGGAGTCCCCTAAATTTTGGTCCTTCTGTCTAACCGGGTGACCAAGGTTCATTGGTATCATGTAAAAGTTTATGTAGTCAGAATTCAGAATTTGCATGGTTGCAGATGCTTCAATCATGTACATGGCCCACACCCTCCCCAGACACACATATGTAGAGTCGACATCTCACTCTCCCCCTCTCTAACACCCCAATATCAGTAGACAAAGTGAAACTAGACCCTCCCCCCCCAAAAAAAAAAAATAAAAATAAATAAATAAATAAATAAATAAATAAATAAATGAAGTAAAATAAAGTATTCATCTGTATGTTCTATACTAGTACAGTGTACAGTAAAATTGCCTTCGTCAGCCATTTTGTATTTGCTGATTGAAAAACCCTGGTAATAAAATTGGGAGAAAAACATGTGTTAGTGCTTAATTTTGAATTTTGAATCTGAAAGATGGAAACTTGATGTAAATGAAATTTACAGTTTCATCATTGAGTAACTCATTGAGTAACTAAACTGAACTTTTGCGATGTTGACATTTAGACACTGAGAATTTCAAAATCAAATACCTTCTTTAAAATCACTTAAAAACAAATATTTTTGTTTAGAGATGAAGCAGCGTTTATCATATATTGGTATGCCAATATTATGAAGGACCCAAATCAACCCAGGTAGTGACAGACATCATCTTTGTTAGCGATGGATAGTCTATTTTAAGTTTTTACATTTGAATCATTCAAGTTAGGCCTATATCTCAAACAGTACAGTTATATATTTAGATATGCTGAAACATTTGAGTAAATTCTTGTTGGGAGCCTATTTGTTGCTTTAAGATCACCGCCTTTGACAATATTTAAATGGTACTTCATATTACCCAGCCTAATCACAATTACAGGGGCTACTTCTTCATGCCCAACAATTCAGTCAATTTAAGTGTAAGCATTCTTTTATGTGTATTGTATCTTTGTTTTCTTTTCTTTTTTAAGGGTTGTATACAGCTTTACCAAAGATATAGAGGTAAAATAGATAGACAACAGCTATATATTTACACAGCTGCTTTATTATTATTTATTATTTATTTTTATAAGATTTGTATACACTATATAGATGGAGAATAGATAAAGAATAAATAACTACATTTTTGTCTACGCAGTTGTGCATGCAGATGAATCCCACGCGATCTGCTGATATCACCTGTTGCAACAAGAAAGAACTAGTATTTTCTGTGGTGTAAAAAAAAGTCTCTTGCTGGCTGTCAAATATCGTCATTTCTTAGACTATTGGCAAGCAGCCATTTTTAAGCCCCCAGTCCTTACCACAAAACGGGCCTTTCGCAAAAATAATCAGTTCTATTAAACAAACGTTAATTGTACTTTAGAAAATTTTGAGGCGTGGTCAAATTGCTTCGATTATTTCTAGCTGATGTGACATTACAGAAATTTTTGAAACCAAACATCCAATAAACACACATTTTGTAATTCATCAGTCCAATCTGTCCATATGTAATGTGTCTCAGTGTAGAATTGATTTGTTGTATTGTAACATAAACTGGTCCATTTGATGTTATTGCCCCAACTTCCAACGTTTAGTCGTCTAAATGTCAAGAAACACAATAATTACGTGTAAATGGTAGCGGGCAGGCAGGGTAATGATACATATTTTTTTTAAATTCGTTGCCTTACTGGGAGACGGTGAAGGTATTTTAAAATAAGATTGAAAATTCAATGAAATTTCTGTTTGGACATTTGTAAATGAAAAATCTTGTCCACGTTCCCCGTATAAATATCCATGAGTATGAGTATGGGACAATAAAACTGACAGTCTTATATTTAGTCCGAGCGTAAGAGGTTTTGTCATGTCCATCATGATATTATTTTCAATACGTCGGGGTCATGGTTAAAAGTTTGTTGTTTTTACTTACCGAAATAATATTTTCTTCTTCCCTTTCAATGAAAACTTTAATGACCATTTTAAAATGTTTCTTTTTCTTGAACTGTAAAAGTGTGTTCCCTTCCTATAGAATGTACGTCGTATTCAAATAAATATAACCGCAAAACGTCATCTGTAAATCTATCATTCTAATGATCTAAATCAAATACTAAGACCCAAGTCACCAATCACGTTTTACCAGATACACCTTCTGTGGGAGTGTGGGTGTGCGTGTGTGTATATATACCCTGTATATATATCTACGGAGCATGCTTGGGTCTTAAGATAGACAACACTTTCATTCTGACAGTAACAACTGATTATAACCATTACAGGAACCATGCAGACCTATGTACCGGTAGTTCTCATTTTGATGGCAGTGCTTGGTAAAGGCAGTAGCCAAGGGTTTATTGCAACAGGTGAGTGTCACGTTTTTCATGCAGCAAGACAGAAAAACTAGCATTTTGTAGACATTATTTGAAATCTAATCCAACTGTCATTCTAATATATCATTGTTGTTAAAAAACAACAAATATAAAAAACTATATGTACCTTCAACGCTGTATGCATTTTGCTCAGTCAATCTGCACAATGCATTTATCATAAAAAGTTTTAATGAACTCCCCACTACTCAGGAATTCCTGGTCGGGAAGGATATTTTTCAAAGATAATGTGTGTCTGGTTGATTAAGGGGAAATGAAAATTTGATGAATTTTCTTTTTTCTATAAGATGGTACCAGCTTTTATTATCCCTGCGTAAGTATGCATCTTTTAAGATTCAATTACGACCAGTTAGTTTTACTGAGATTTACGTTAACACATTAGATACCCTTGTACATGCCATGTTGTTTGAAAATGTATTCATAAAATGTGTTACTGACACTTGTTTATTTATTTCCTACAGATAACTGCACTGTTTGTGGGGACCCGCACTTCATAACTTTTGATGGAAAGAGGGGACCTATTAACTTGGTTCCCGGTAAGTGGCATGTTCTTGCAAAAGATAACGTGAATAACCCGCCTGGCTGGATGGTTACAGCCCTCACAGAGTTTCATAAGGGTGGACCAAGGACGAAACTTCTAACAGTGAGTTTCACTTGCAGATTGGTTGATGGAACTGACCACGTGGACTCGGTTGACATGGCTTCAGTTTCACACCTCGGTCCAGTACAATTATTCGATGTAAGTTTTCCACATTTATCACAAAGGAATAGACAAAAATAAGCGCACCAATAAATAGAAAACGTAAAGCAAACAAGAAGGGAAATTGTTTCTGTTATGTCAGCGTTTCTTTTCGATAAATAAAATGTTTTACTAGCAATAGCAGTGAAAATAAATATATCGTGACGCTAATGCAAAAAAAGTGTTTCAAACTTTTTAATGCCCAAATCTCTGGCAAATTTTACTCTATGTGATCTTTGAACTTGAGATATTTTTCTTTGTGTGTGTGTGTGTGTGTGTGTATGTGTGTGTGAATCATCCCTATTAATTACCCTTTGGATATATTTTGTTAAGTGCCCTGTCCAGCAAGTTGACATAACTATTGGCCCTGGTCGCTGTGTGAAAATAACCGTTGCTGAACCAAGGTGGATCAATGGAACAGCTGGACCATGTGGTGACAACGACGGCAACAAATTGAACGACTAGGTGAGGAGACTTGGAAAATAGAGGCTCTCTTTGTCACCAATATCAAATTATAAATGTCTATATAATACTTATGCAGTGATCCGTGCAACTTAACCTACCTTTTATTGCATAACATTGATTAAAATTTACACGCTAGGCCGTAGTCTTTGCAACCATTGTGCTTGTTCCAATAAACATTATCATTAATCCTATTATAACGTGGTATATTTTGAAAAAGGGGCTATGAAGGGTATAGGGTGAACCCTTGGATGAACTGTTATCAGATTAAAACAATCTATTTTATATAGATAAAATAGATACCAGTGGTTAAATGTGCCTTGTAGCCTAGCTAGTGGTTTTAATCTATGAAGAGAATCAAACAATAAAATTAATAATTCCCCAATTTCTTTTTAAATAACTTAAAAGATCCTTTTTTACAGTCACTCCCTCCCGTGAATGGAAAATGTAAGGTGGACAGAATCAAGAATCATGGACAGCCACATCGGACTTCGGACAGAGAGAGCTTTAACGGAACTGGACAACGATTATACAACCACAGCGGGTACTATGGCGGGACTGCAGCGCTTCTTTATTTGACGTTTTCTCATTCATTTTGAGTTATTCTACACAGAGCAGACTTTCGGCACAGTTGATAAACGATGAAGTTCAAGAAGTTCTTACCTTTTTCCAGTCTAAATATTTGACTTTGTGTAGAAGTATTTAGCAGAATTTTGTGTGTTATTTGTCATACAGGTTGATGTTGCTTTGAGACAGTTTGTGATGTGAGTACCGGTATGTTGGTCCACAATGTAGGCAAACAATTTGGACGGAATCAAAGAAAACGCCCACAAAATTAATTGGGAGGTTCAATTACAATTATATACATATATCATTTAATTTCTTTTTTGTGCGCTTTTGCTTTAAATAAACATTTAAGGTTCAATTGTTGTGTTATTTCATGGACGAACTTCATTCCCTTCACTGCAAAGTAATAGTTAAAAGTTTTTAATTGTGTCAAGAGGTTTGAGTAAATAAACGTATGCCTCTCAAAGATTAAAAGGGTTTTAGAATCTGAGGGTATAATTCCGTGAAAATAAAGGCAAGGCGATTAGATATTGACACAGAAAGGCCCTTAAAGAAAAAAAAATAATGTCGAGTGAAAAAACGTCCGTAAAAAGCGTAAATTATTCATTCAAATAAGATTTTATTCGTCAGTTCTCTCTGTGGTGCAATGCTCAACCAATGGACGCTGAGGATTGTTACTCACGTCATTTGGGTACACTCATCTTATCTCGGTGACGCCCACAGTCCCAATCAGGGTTTGTCAAGCAAGTTGCATGCCCACCTCCCCGTAGTGGTCCTAGAAATACTTAAGCTGAGAGGCTGCGGCTAGTATATGTTATGGCTAATTAAAATAAATCCACTTCAGAAAAACCCTGGTCCAAGTTTTTGAATCTGAGATTTAAAATTTGTGAAAAAAGTATAGGGGATAAGATATTGGCACGAGAAAAAAAAGATATATAAAGTAAGAACACCCGTAAAATGCGACAATCTTTCGTTTAATTTTTTTTGGTAATTCTGCACTTGTCTGCCAATTGTCACCAACTGTTTTCTGTACAACTGATTACTAGGTATGCAACTAAAAAGCGGCAAACGCGGAACAAAACTTTCGTGCATAGGCAAATCCACGTTTTAAGATCAAAGAAGAGGGTTGTAGAGCCGCATTTTGCAACTACACCGCATTTAGCAACCAAAGAAAATCGTCCGCCACAGGTGCAGCCTGACCAAATTCAGCATGAAGTATTCTAGTCAAATGTATAGAAGAAATATTTTCAGTTACCTATTACATGTTGCATTATTTATTATTTGTTTGTTTTTAGACGTGTTGTAACCCTGTTTTAGACTTAAACCTGGTGAATGATACATTTTCTTGAATTTTTTCCCATAACTTAAAAAATTTTAGAATTAAAGAACCTATGGTATTATACATGTACATAGTTTTGGAATAAAAATGCTTCATAATACCGAATGCAACATAATGGTAAGTGAGAAAAAAAAGCGTGTTTTCCTGGTTAGACTGATCATAATGAGAATCTGGATTTTTTTCAATTAATGAAAAATTACTTGATCAAATGTTTGAGCCCTCACCCCTCATCCTGTTGGGTTAAGTTTATCAACAACTTCACTTGTCACTTGTCATAGCCAAAAATCAACACAGCACATTTTGAGAAGCATATTTAATACTACATGTACCTTGATTCCAGTTACAGCATAGAATAATAACTTAATAGCTTTCATAGTTATCCATAGTTCTTGATACTTTCAATGAATATATATACATATTTATGGTAATCTTTATTTATCCAAAGTTATATTAAGTTATGTTACTAAAATACTCAACTTGTTGTTCTTATACATTTGTTTTACATTAATAAAATCACAAAATCTGTTTCAAAATTAGATGTGTTCTATTAAATTTGAAGGAAATTGTAAAATTTTAAAATTGTAAAATCTGGTAATTAGTTTACTATTTATAATTTCATTGCTTCATTTAAACATGCTTATGACCCAATATCCAGTATTGGAAATTCAAATAGGTCTGAAAATTCCTTTACTTAAAAAATGCTGGTTAGACAACCTGGAATGATTTAGTTGATCCCACAAATGATTTCAAGGAACCAGTAATCATTTTCTTTGCTGTTCCAAAATGGCGAATTCGGTAAGTGCCTTTTGGTTGCTGGTCTGGTATTTTCCATGAAATCTCAGAAACACTCAGCGCCAGTATGGTAGATGTGCGCTTCCAATAATAACTGTAAAGATATTGAAATTTTATGTCATTTGTAAATTTCCACATTTACCCTAAACGTATATCATTTAGAATTATCTTGAAATTATATCACTGGAAGCTTATTTTACTATGAAGACTGTAAAAGTTTTCAAGTTTCATTTTGATAATATTGAATTTGTAACTTGGTTACCTAGTTTCCCAATCAGCATCAGTGAACACAGTCTTCCAGCTTCCATCACTCTGTTTCTTCTCCACTGTGAGGAAACTCTTACCACTCTGAAATCCCCAACATACATGTATTCACAACCAAAGCCATGTATTAAGCTTGGACCTAAATAGGACCTTGGACCTCTTGTTATGTCCATGTATTAAGGAAAAGTGACAAGTTGTCCTATTTAAACTTGCACAATACTGTTTCACTTTTAAAATATGCTGCTCCATTAATTCTCATTTGTATATCGAAAATCTGCTTTACATTACACCATGAAATGTTTTTCTCTTCTAATTTTTTTTCACTTTTCACAACCTCCACCGAAGAGGTTATATTTTTACCCCCATTTGTCTTTTTGCTTGTCTGTATGTCACCATCCTCATAATGTTGAAAAAAGTTATGGATGGATTTTGAAATCTTCAGGATATGTTAGAAATGGGGCACTACATTTTTAGAAACTTATTTAGAAAATGATTTACTGATGATCTATTGATTAATTTTTTTTAACTGTCAGAAGTGGACCAAGTAGCAAACAATTAAATTTTGGTGATGATTAATTAATAACATTTGTTTGACTGTTAGCAACATTAGGCAAACAGTTATGAAGGGATTTTGATAAAAAAATTGAATAAGGATAGGTCCAAAATGAGCTATATTTGGGTGGTGATAGAGTAAATGACTAATTTATTAGTTTATTTATTAGTTTATAATCAGTCCACCACTAATAAAATTCATGAAGCTATAATTAATAAAAAGTTGAGTTAATTAATTGATTGACTGATTTATAAATGATAAACATTAAAGAAAAAGGATTTGCCTTGCCAGAGGTCTGCACTCTGTGTGCTTTTTTAGTTATGCTTACCATTACGTTATTCCTTGGGTTTGCACTGATAAAGGACACTTTTACTACATCTCCCTACAATATTGATAAATAATTTTTCTCATCTTTTATGGAATAGATAGTATCAAAAATAGAAAAATATCAATATCAAATCTATAAGATATCAATTATGCTGTACAAAACAATGTATCAGTTCAACTACATGTATGCCAATAAAAAACAAAAAATAAATTCTTTTCTGAGTACATTCAATTATGAAAAAAAAAGAGATCTGAATAACAAAAAGTAATTACCTGGATGTATTTGGATTTTGGTTGCTTGATTACATCACCAAAACTTCTAAAAAGTGGGGGACTATCATGAAGAACAGGGGTAAGAAAGGAAATCAGTTTTGATGGAAAGTTTGGAGTACTAGGACCAGATGACAATGTAGAGCCCTTAAAATGAGAAGAAAAATAAGGATTATGACCAAGTAAAACAAGATTTCAAAGTTTCAAAGGCTACTGTATACTTTCATTTTCAAATGTGGTATCTATTGGTTAAGCTGAAAAAATTCAAGCTACATGTATTTATATACACGTATAAGCATGTACATAATTACACATGGTAAGGTTAATGCACACTCAGAATTCAATGCCACATGTAAAGATAATTTAAATACAAATCTTAGAATTCCTGAAGAGTTATTTAATTATTTGCATTCTTTGTGGATTTTTTTCTCACCTGGGCCATTGCTGTTGTCAGTCCCTTAAACTTCTGAATAAATGCCAGTAAGGTATGGGGGCCATATATGGTAGATGCACCTTCATATCTCTGAATCTGAATAACAAAGACCAAAACAAATTTCATGTTAATATTTATTCAAGCCTGGTAAATTCTATGTGCTGTCCATTTTTTTCAAATGCTTTTCAGTAGTCAACATAGGGAAAATATTGTAATCATGCATGTTAACATCATTTCAACACAGCCATATAAATAAAAACATTACACTTTTAAAGAATTTACATGAGTAACTCTCTGCCCACATTTTATCTAAGCCTGTATTTTTTTTTTATGCTGACAAAAATGAAAAATGTGAATGCTCCCAATGTTACCCATTTGCAACGCCCAATGACAGGCAACCGTATTCTAAATTCAATTATCCTTGCCTAACCCTTTCAAAGTTTATTGGCTGTTAGATGTAAAAAAAAAAAAAAAAAAAAAAAAAGGCATACTTTTCAGTAAAATTATATCCATGATATCATGATATTCAAATCTGAAATTTTTGCCAATGTCTGAAAATTCATACATGTAAATTGATTTTTTTGAATAATTTAACAGGCTTACCTGATATTCCTCATATGTGACAACATAATCTGCATAACTATTAGATAGTCCAGCAACAACAGTTTTAGTGTTGGAGGGGAGACCTTGCTGGGTGGCAATCTAAAATTTTGAACAAACCATACAAAAATGTCATATATTTACAGTATGTGAAGACAAAATTGTATCAAAATGTCTGATAAATCTTTAATATTAACATACTCCCAAGTTTCAATGCACTAAATATCATTATGCACCACAGCCATGTGGGATCATATCTTGAGAAATAATTCACAAGTTTGCTTGATCTCTCATCACCTTATCACCCTGATGCAAACATTGCTGTGTGACATTTAATAATATTAATTGATATATATATATATATATATATATATATATATATATATATTATCAAGTAATTTGTCACAGTTCTGTGGTTTTTGAATAACACAATTCTCTTCACAATTTTTTTATTGGGGGGAGGGAGGGGGGAAACACTAACTAATTTATCTACCTCAACAGAAATACTGTCTGTGTAAAATAAAATAAACAAGAAATTTGAACTTGAGACAGCATAATTTACAATGAACTGTGTCAGGTACTTAAAATATAATTTTAAGAACCCTTTCTCATTTGCATGATATAATTATTTTTTTACAAGTTATCATCTTAATACAAATAAACAATACCTCAGTGACAGCATTTCGCAATCTTCTCCCTGACATTGTACTGAAAGATTAATCGAGGAATAAGGATAATGTCCTTAATCTGATATAAGGTAAAAAAGCAACAACACATAATCTATTTCATTACCAAACATTGCAAAAATATAGAGCGTTACTAACCTTTACTACAGTAGATACATGCTACTGAAACAAACATTCTTTATTTCTTCAGATATATTCATGTACATGTACATGTATTGGTATGTTATAATCATGTGAGTTTATGCACCACCATGCACTTGACTGAAACTCAATAAAGAAGCCTGGATAATTTTTTGCTTTTTTCATATATTGCATTTTCAGTAAAATTTCACAAACTATCTGGAGAAATACACATTCCCACTAAATATAAGTTATATTACCTAAATTCTCCAGGAACTGCTAGTATCATCAGCTCCCCAATCCTCAGAATCTGAGTGGGAACTACACTTGGTTGCCATGGATATGGGAAGGACATCTGATAAAAAAAGTACATGAAATTTTCAAAAATAAGGCATCTTCTCCTTATGTCTCACAATGTTACTCCCCCACACTTTTCTTCCCCACATCATTATTCGCCCTACCAAAAGTAATGATATTACCCACATTGATATTCCCCTGCACCTGTGTTGATCCTCTCCAGCACTGTTTCTTATTCTCATCATTTTTTTATGATAAATCAAAATAGTTGCCATTTTTGGGTCCAGGTATTTACAATTATTTTTTGAAATTAAGAATTAGTTTTTACCAGAGGTGGAGTAGCAACACAGGGAATCATCAGGGTCGAGTAAGTAAAGGGATGTAAACAAAAATACTATGTACCTTTATCATTTTAGAATGCTGACTCAAGTTGGTCAATACAAATCAGATTTTGAGGAAAACAACTGGAAAAACCAAAATTGCATTAGAAATATATTCTAATTAACCATGTAGCATTTTTGCATTAGGATACCACAATGTTTTGAACATTAACGAGTCACTCAGTGCATACATTTACGTACCTCCCCTGTGTTCAAGAGGATGGGCTTAGGGTGCTGACACTGGATTTGTGCTCGGCTGGGTTTAGATAAAATGTTACGCACAAAGTTCCAGAATGGGTTACCAGTGGTAGTACCTTCAAATAAATAAGTTTTTTATTTAGAAAAGATTATTGATGGCATACATCTTACCAGAATATCTCAGCTGCATGTGTGTGTGTGTGTGTGTGTGTGTGTGTGTGTGTGTGTTTTTTTATGAAAACTGAAATGACTAATTAATTACAGTGATTCAAAAGAAGAATACACTTTTAAAGAGTCCATACCTTGTGTGAAGTCAAACGAGCCTGGCCCATCAGTGGTTCCTGCAGCAAAACTATATCCCATAGCTGGGGGGCAAGTAGTGGCCTGAAAATAATATAATCTACAGTGAACTATGTTTGTACAAAGGGTAGCAAATATCATACCACAACTGTTCAAGTGACGTCATTTATATAATTATTTTTTATAATGAGATGTGGAAATAAATGTAAACACTACTTTTGTGTGCCCAAACAATTTTTATACTCAATATATATAGACTGATATGCAATTGAATGGTAAAAAAAACACTGATTTTTTTTCTTACATAATGAGTGGCATCAATTTGGACTTTCTGGTTGGACATGTCCACAAACTGATGCCTGTAGTCCACAGGACCAGTCAGAAGAGTGTTCGCACCATCAAATAGTTCCTGTGAAAAAATATTAAATATTATGCACAAACTACACATCATGGTTTTTATATTTCTTCAAATATGTCAAAATTACATTATGGTTACAATATTAGAAACCATGTTTTTTTTTTAATGCAAAGTTATGCAAAAATTACATTATGGTTAAAAATACTTGAAATCTCACAAAGTAATTCAAAAAAGGGGATTGGCATATTTAACTTACTTTAGCTTTTTCGTACTGTTTTTTTCCAATAATCTTTGTGCTTTCATACATGTCCTTCCCTGGACCTGATGCAACACATAGCTCAGGCTGAAGATATTCAGAAAATAGTTCTGTATATTTGTCATACAGGAATATATATATATATATATATATATATATATATATATATATATATATATATATATATATATATATATACTTCAAATAAATATTAAATATGTAAGTAGTTAATTCAGTGGTATTCAATAAGACATATGGAAACGTGTTCCATACCTTTCCATTACATGTGCTGGTTGAGACGTCACATGGTTTCCCTGTGTCAATACAGTGTGCTCCTTTGGTGTTTGGAGACACATCACCTTCATTACTCTGGGCAAAGGCTGCTATGAACTTCCCCTGACCAAACAGAGGAATATATATATTAATGCAATGAACCATATGTAAACTAGGTTATGAGAATCAATACATTTAATTATAATTTCAATTTCAGTTACTTTTATTTTTCAAATCTGCCTTTTTATTTCATTTTGTTATGGGCCTAAATCGAAAGCTTTTTTGTTTCTTTTTTTTTTTTTTTTTTGAAAATCTTGTGTTAAGATTTTTTAAAGTTGCCAAAGTGAAGAGTTTATATTTCAGCTGCTTGCTGTAACAGTTAATTAATTCAGAATCAATAAAACATTTGAAAAAATGCATATAGATACATACTGGTTATAGCCATTAATCACAGGACATCCTCCCTCTACATATTACCAATCATAATGCAATTTTCTATTTATACTTTGTGAGACCAGTAATCATGTTGAAAATAATAATACTCTTGTAATTATATTTATTTTCGTAGCATTGTTCTTTTCTTTTTTATGTATTTTGAATTTTTTTTTATTTTGACTAATTAAAAAACTATATTCAACTTTCAGATACAGTGTCCAAATATGAGCGACATAGTAACTATAAGCCCCAGATTTACCTCTCCAGGCAGACTCCCTGGGTTCATCTCTCTTTCAAACAGCTGTGCTGCATATCCTTTGTTATCTCCACTTATATAACCATTGGTGTTGTTCATACTGGTGCAATGAACAGCAAACCAGCTGGAAATACAGTGTTAAGAGTGTTTGTGTGTCTCTTTATGATTAAAAAATTACTGAATCAGATATTATTTTTTGACAAGACAAGATCTGTAAGGATTGAGGGTTTACCAAGAGACAAAAACACTCCACCATTTGATCATTTTTTGTTAAAAAGGAATAAAACCCTACAGTAGTAACTGTAATAAAGAAAATATCATTAAATGTGATATACGGACCTGATCATACCAAGAGGCTGGCCATTTCCATCCACAAATTTTAAAACGGTCATGTCCTTGTCCACATTGTAGTTGTATCTATAAAATTCATATTGAAAAAAAAAAATCAATATGAAAAGTATAAGAAAATTCAGGAACAAATGATATATTCTTATATTCCATACTGTTTTTAAAAAATATGAAATAATGTGAAATATGAACTCTTGAAATTTTCTGTTATATTTTTGTACTTACTTTGCCTTCTCTCCTGGTGGGTTATTCAGGTATGCAGTAGGACTGCGGTTGATGTTGCTGTTCAGAAGTACTCCTGTGTTAATGTAAATATTTCCTGCAACCATGTTGTTGTGGGCATTTTGGATACTCTATAATTAAATTGACTTTTTTTATTTTGTGATTGAATAATCATGGTCAAAAAGATAACACATTGTGCCTGACTCTTGACTTGGTAATTGTAAATCCCTTAATCCAACTTGTTAAAATTATTTAAAATGGGGACTCTTTTTTCCTTGGTAGGTATATTAAAAATAACAAAAGCTCTCAAAATTTTACTTTGGCAGAAAAAAGTCAAAAGTCATTTTTGCTTCAACAGTCCTGGGATTCATTGATCAGATGGTTTTATTGATCCTAGAAATATGAAAATATAACATTTTTACTTGTAAAAAAATTAGAATAAAAGTTTAATTGCTTGACGGCTGAAAAGTCCAGGGAATAAATGGTCCAAAGATTCTCTTATTTGTTCCAAAATTCTTCATGAGAAAGTGTTGCAACGTATACAATGCACGTTTGACGTTTATATAAATGAATGATTTTTCTGGAAAGTCTAAAAATTTTCTTTTAATCACCAAGGTATACCCAATCCAAAATCCTAAAAAAAGCATGTTTTTAACCAATTTTAGAACTTTAAATTTTAATCTTCATTGTCATGACAATAACTCGCCAGCCTCCCTCCACCTTCATTACAAGATTGACTCAAACATTAAAAACTTATATCTCAAAACCCGACTTAAAATGTCATTTTGCCAACAGTTTTGGATGCTATACAGTGTAGGGTCTACCTTGATGATTACGAAAAGGCGTTGAAATTTCCAGAAATTTATATTTTGGTGTATAATACTCTTTAAACCGACATTGGATTTCAAAACAGTAAACTTTAAAATAACCATTTTTTTCGGCCAATGAACCATGGAACTATAGAACTGTATCGTGGTTTCGTCTTTACACAAGTGCATATACATGCAGTTCTAGTGAATAATCCCAAAAGAGTTTGAAAGGTTCTCTTTCAACTCATTACTGTACTTGCATGAGGTGTACATGTATTTGGACTGAGATATTTCACTGATTTCTTCGTTAATACTATAAATAAAACATAGAGAAAGAATATAATTTATGCTTACAAAACACAACAAGCGCAACAGCTCTTGGTGTTTGTCTCCGGGATAATGGTAGGGGAAGTGCTCCGACTGTTATTTTCAAACAGACGGGCGTGACAAATCCCTCTAGTAGCTCTAACCTTATGGTACGTAAGTCTTACCTTTACTATTCCATCAACAAGGGGATCCAAACTCTCCTCCACAAAGCCAAGGGATGTGACATCAAACAACACATACCGGTGATATCCCCCAGGACCAGAGTGAGTATGGGTTCCACTCACGCAGACATTGGTTTCATCATAAAGACCATTGTAGAGAGTCTTCAGCTTATTAGCAACCTAAGTGTAGACGTTACTGAAGTAAACATAACAGAACCGCTTGCGGGGACTCAGTTTTTTCAAAATCACATATATATATATATATAGTTTACAATTATGTCTCAAACAATATTTCATCATTTTTGATAATTGGATTGTAATTTCTGTCCAAAAATCGCGCTTTTACGCGAAAAGAAACATACGAAATAAATTAATATAATATATTGATAAAAATGAAATCAGAACAGAATAATCACCAAGTGATATATTACTGTTTTTTCTCCTTTTTTTCTGCTTTATATGTATCATCCGTTTATTTTTCAAATATGGTAAATAGTTAGAGGAAAATGACAATAACGGACGGCAGATCATTTTTGTTGATCTCAATTCTATGTCGCACGAACGATCCATAATCTGAGCGGTAATATTTATCGCAGACAAAAATCTATTCTACCTTGTATTCCGCAATATTGATAAACTTTAAAAATTAACAACAATTGTGAAACTAATCGATATATTTTGAATTACAATAATGCAACGACAAATATTAATAAGTGTAGTGCACTGTACAACACACTGGAGAGCCAACTCTATGATATTAAATAGTAATAACGTCCATTAAAATAGACCAAATTATCACAGAAAATGATATTGGTTGAGAGTGCATAGCACGGTTTTAACACAAAATATTTTTCGTGGATATTTTCTATAAACTTTACCTTCTTTTTCATAATATCAGATATCATACATGCATCAACATTGACGAAGACTACCCTGGACGTCTTAGCAGCGTCAGCAATAATAAATGCCCTGCTATACAGACGCATATGGATCCCATGGCTTTTTTGGGATGGATTGGCATACCCCATCTAAAATCAACGACAGAATTATTATGACAACTGAACGACTACGTTTTTCCATGTTTGTTGAAAGTGGATATCATATATTGCCTATAAAAAAGAGAAGAAATAAGTCCAGTAAAGGAACGAAATTTCCCGATACGTGACATCATTTTGTGGTTTTCTTCATCTATTTAAAAAGAAAAAGGGGGGGGGGAACCTAAGGGGGTCGAGAGATATTTCACTGAGTCGAAAAAAACAAAGCGTGGTCAAAGTGACTAAAAATTTTTAGTCCCAGCTCACTGTCAAATATAACAGATGGAATAAGATCCATTTACCACACCTTCTGACTTACCATTTGGTCATATCAGTATAATTTATGATGAGTTAAACACACTGAAAAAACTATACTTTCCCTCGTCTATTACCGGATAATAGTTTGGACAAACCAGGTGAGTCTTTCTGCTTAATCACTTGCAGACAAAAACGAGGGATGCGGATCAGGGCTCCGTATCTCGAAAGGTTCGCTATGTTGCGCACGTGTGCAAGCGTCTCGATTCCCTATATCACTCGCCCATACTCGTCCCATATAATGCATTGTGCCTCTACTTGATATAGCGATTCGCAATACGCGATGCTTTCGAGATATGGGGCCCAGGCCGAAAAGGGTGGGAGGGTGTCAACATGTAAGTAAACAAATCAAAAGATCAATAATACAAAATAATAGATTAGAAATATTCCATCAAATTCTTTTTCTAAAAGACAAATGCATGATCTCTCAGTGTTTCTTTTCTGCTTATTCCTTATTTATAATACATTCTTCACTTTTTATGACTCGATATTCCGATATTCCCTGGCTCTTTTTCGTTAAGTTAAGTTAAATTAGTATATTGTACAATTATAATAATCCCCACTATTGAGCTTAGGCGAAAATATAACGGTGGGCACATACAACATGTGTTGAGGAACCGGCGAAAATTCACCAATTGCAAAAATATTTGTCTCTTTGAGAGAACTCGGACTAAGAAAGGATGTTAATGTTTTTAATTGTATATTATTACTCTGCCTATGGTAACGGCCACCCTCATGAGTCCAGTAAAAGCGAATAAGGTCAATTTGTGGTTTAAAAATTAGTGTATCGCAAATGAAAACAACTCAGTTAAGTCGTGGTCTAGAATAATTAGAATATTAAATTAGAATATTAATTACTTAGCAGAATTTAGGCATACACACGGCGAAGGAAACAGCCGAACCCCCGGCCCCCCCCCCACCACACACACACAGCCCACCCCTAACCATTACTACCACAGTCGGATTCTCACACTATTTGCACAGAACTATTAAAAGCTTTATTTTATTATTTTTTTTCCGAAAGTAGAATTACAAAATCAACGCAAAATAATAAAAAAAAAAACCTCCAAAAAAAGGTTTACCATATTGACTTCTGCTGCTGGTCCCGTAACATCAGCGATCCCTGTCCCTATGTAATAATTAGCAACTCCATAGCAGCCAGTGACCAAATAAAAAAGAAAAATGATTTTCCAGGCTGATACACGGTCCACCATTTCGGTCAATTATACCAGTATAAGTGATTCTATGACATTGACACGTATCTCTTAAATGTGCAATGTAAACATCTAAACCGGGTCAGCCAGCTGGCACTTTTTCGGGGCTAGTCAAATGGTGGGCGGATGGACCTCCGTAGAACACTTCTCTTAACTCATCTACAGCCGGCACTTCGAACAATAGGATAATTCAACCTGTATTTCGCTTACACGCTCCACTGTATTTTCATACTCTTCGTTACGTTCTTCCTGTTGTTCGAAGCGTCAGCCGTGGGATAAGTCAGTTACAACTACTCATCGTCTACTGAGTGCACGACTCGTGTTGTAAATGCTAAATAAATCATAGTCAAATATATCCATTATATTCTATTTGTAAGGACTAAATCGACATCCACATCCTTATGAGGAAAGCTTATCTCTTTGTTTCCAAAAAGGGGAATTTTGTACGCAATTTGAAATGTAGGGACGTGATTTTAATTTACATTCAAGGATTTGAATATGATTATCACTGAAAACTCCGCAAATATTATGCTGATTTAAAGAACAAGTTGTGCAAAGTATCCCAACGTTTTTTATTAATATATCTTCCATTCCTAAAAGCAATAGGTATACTTTCAGGTGATACTAATAGACGTAAAAACTCCTAAATTCAAAACCACGTAGTGTTGTTTTTGGATCGTTTGGCACTTATCAAATATTTCACTAACGTTACAAATATATCATATATATCATTAAGCTAACAGTAAAACATCAGTCAGAGAAAGTCGGAATCAAACCAACTTAGATTAAAGAAAAAGTTACTTTTCTCATTTTATCATCCCGTTACCAGCAAAACAAACATCAACAAAAATGTTCAATATCAATCTCATATGTCAGTCAAAAGCGTTTCAATTTTCACTCTTGTAATCTAATGCCTTTCTTTCTGATCAAAGTTTAAGTCTAAATTTCAACAGTATGTGAACAAATTGTATTATATTAATGGCGAGCTTCATCTTGTCTTTTTAAAACACAGAAAAACAAAAATAGACATAAGACATCATAGAAAAGGTTTACCATATTGACTTCTGCCGCAGGTCCCGTAACATCGGCGATCCCTGCCCCTATGTAATAATTAGCAACTCCTTGGCAATCAGTGGCCAAACAAGCCAAAAAACAGGCAAACAATATATGCCTAGCTAACACACAGTTCATCATCTTGGTTAATCACACATGTGATTACATGGCATGCAGCTCGTCGAGGTGTAACTTAACAAACTAAACTGGGCCAGCTTGCTGGCACTTTATAGGGATCTACTTTCCAGGTCGTGAATCTAAACGGTGGGTGTATGCAAAGTAGTAGCCTACTCTATAAAAGGCCAACTAAGCGATGGCATTAATTTCATATCAAAATTCTGGATAGTACAAAATATTGCCATGAATTAGCCATATCTGTGAATGTCAATATAAAAAATTCGATAAACAATAAATCAGTGTCTCTTGTAAAAGGTGGGTGTATATAATTTTTAAGAACATTATTATTAACATCAATTCTTGTCCAGATATTCTTTTAAAGCAATCACCTATTCTGCAAATAACGCTGAGTATCCAGGGAAAAATCAAAACCAATTATTGGTTATAAATGAGCGACAATTGGTTTTGATGCGACGCGGGTGTGGAAGACTGAATTTAACCTGTATGCACGTGTGCGTGCAAACGGGCTTAATTGAGCTCTTTGGGGTCATATCAATTTGGCGATTTAACAGCATAACAAACAAAAATGCCTCCGTTACTGTTCGTCTTTTCTCTATGCAGAGGGGGCGACAATTGAGTTCATGGTGCTATTTATGGAAAAAAGTGGTTTAAATTATCCCCCTTGACATACAGTACGTCTGTTGGCGTAAATCATCATCCGCTTCCTTCAAAAACACACGAAACTCTATTGTCATTATGAAAAAGCCATCGTAACTGTTCTTTTACGCGAGAGTCCGTCTTAGGAGGGATGGGCGACTATTGGCTATGAGGTATAATTTGTATGACTTCAAACACTGACGTGCATTATGTATTCACCGTCTTGGACAGCAACCCACGTAAATACCCATAATTTACGACAGGTAAGACGTGACTGAAAATCGTGTAACTGTCACTGGGTTTTTCATCTCCACAATGTTAGGCCTACATTTTGAAATGACTTTGTTGCGGTGCGTGAAAAAAATACACCCATATATAAAACACACCTAGACTTTTAAAGTAAAAACGAAACGTCCATGAGTGACGTACAAAATCAGTCGTCAGGCGACCTGGGAAATAAAACGATTTAGTAATATACAGAAACTGACACATTCACATACATATTATATAAACTGACAGTAATCGTAGTGGATCCCCCAAAAGCCCCCGATCCATGCATGTGTGGTATTCAAAGAATGCGTGTCTGTTCTTCAGAAAGCAGCGGCGCTTTTCTTCCAAGCGGCTGTCGTTAGTGGTGATCGCAAATTTTGTTTGAAAAGTCGATTTCGCGAACGAGGTCCATAACAAAAATCACAAGTTTCGTAACTGAAGTGAGCAGGGACTTCTGAAACAGTATACAAAATTAAAGTATGAGCCATAAACAATTTTGTAACAGACTACTAGCGCACCCTGTGGCCAGAGAGTACAGGAGCTGTTGGACTTGTTACGTGAAGTCGTGACTAAAATTGATAAATCTTGGGGGATATTCTCAAAACACCATGCACTGCTTCAATTTGCCTTTATTTCGTTTTACCGTCAACGATCATAAAGTTTCATCTGATTTAAGAAATTGAAAACATAAGGAAAGTATATTATCTGAATGATGACCAAATAAAGTACGATAAAAAATACCTGAGTTTATGGTTTTAGTAAGTAGAAAGGCATAACGTTAAGACACGAATGAAGATTTTTAAATTGATAAAAACACGGCTTTATATTGCAAAATTCGCATGTGCCATTCTAACGTTTTACTGCTGAAAGACTTAATATGATGGTACAGAGAAAGAAAACTGCAATTTATCACTCACTGCACGATCAGAAAAAAGAAAATTTTAAAAACTATGATTGCATTTGAGTGTCACTTCTTTACGACAAAAGTCTCATATAGTTTGATTGTTTAAATATTATACATTTTCAGGAACACATGGACAATAAATAAACAGTGGATGAAAAAAGAATAATCATAAATACTAAATTTAGCAATATTTAGGAATTAAATTGCACAGTACAATTTCCTTACATATAATCTGCTTAAATATTGGCTTATCGATAGCAGCTGACCACATCAATATGTGTACAACTTTTTAAAATACTTTATCAAAACATTTACCCTTGAGAATAACTGTACACTCGTATGTAGGCCTATGGCAATTTGAAGACTTGGATTTCAATTATGTTAGCTTTTACGCTACATTTTCATTAAGTTCTGACTGCATCTTGACATGCTTCAAGAACTTCAAATAGCTTTGAATGCCTTTCTTCTCGGACAGGGGAGATGCTGCAACTTGGAATATATCTGTGGAGCCTTCAAATGGAGTTATGGAGCCACCAATCATGCTTTTTGATGATCCAAAATGGCGTATTCTATAGGTGCCTGGCATCTGCTGATCTGGTATATTCCATGTGATAACAGAAATGCTTTCCCCAAGTATTGTGGATGTGCGTTCCCAATGGTAACTAAACAAGAAATTCAAGTCAAAAGCTTAATTAACATCTACATTTTTTTACAAAAATACTGAAAAATAATTAGACTGCAAAGAACCACCTCAACTGTCACTTTTGTAAATACCCAGTTTATTACTAATACGAAATAAACGGTAGCTTTTACTACACTGTTGTAACACATAATTCAGTCGGTTAACTATGAGTATGTCGGAAGTGACTGCTAGCTTTTACTGTATTATTACAACATATAATTCTGTGACTTGGTTACCTAGTTTCCCAATCTGCATCAGTAAACATAGTTTTCCAGCTTCCATCACTCTGTTTCATCTCCACTGTGAGGAAACTCTTACCACTCTGAAATCACCAACATTGAACATGTACTAAACAAAACTCACAAAAGGCAGCAAACTATGTATATTTTATCCCAACAAGACTTGTAGTACTTTATATGGTACTTTATATGGCTTTCAATATCTTTAAGCACCCAAATCACCCAGGCACGTAGGCAATGGGGGTTCGGGGTTCAAAACAACAAAACTTTTGGTTAGTAAAAGTCCATTTTGAATCAATATTTGTTCTAGGTTCTATGCCATGTCTGAACTTGGGTTAACTAAGGGGATAAAAAGGTCCAGTTTATCAGAAAAAGAACCCCCTCTGAAATTGACGGTCATTGGCTTGTTACCCTTACCATTAAGTTGTTCCTGGGGTTTGCACTAATGAAGGAAACTTCTACTGTACCTCCCTGGAAAATATAAATCAATGTGCTTTCTAACAAATAAACAAAAGTGAGATTATACACTTCAGAATCTTGTATAATCCACAAGTTATTTCTTCCATTTGATGATTTTTATATATATTTTTGAAGGCATGACATTGACACAGTTTTAAAAATTCTAATCTAGCAATTTCTATTCCAAACAAATGATTACACATTTTAAGTAAACAATTTATATAAAATTTCTGTTATAATTACCGGCATATATTTAGGGTTAGGCTTTTTGACAACATCACCAAAATTCTGTCCCATTGGTGCATGATCAAACAGCACAGGAGGTAGGAAAGAAAACAATTCCTTCATAAAATTTGGAGGACTAGGTCCAACTGGCACAGGAGACCCCTAAAAAAGTAAAAAAAAATCTAAGGATTTTAACTTTCAATTTCATAAATTTCATAAGCATTTTTCATATTTAATTTATCTGACAACACTTAAGCAAAAACAGATGTAATGTAAAAAGGGAAATGTACCTTTTATGACAACTAAAGATGAGTTTCATACATTTCTTTCTCTTCCCTTTTGATAAAAAAATTCTTATTCATTGTCAGTGGCTGACTTTAGTTGCTAAATGAGATGTACATTCATAGTCCCTCCTGTTCCTTACCCTAGCCATTGCCACAGTCAATGTTTTAAACTTCTGAATATAGGCCTGTAATGTGTGGGGGCCAAATATGGTTGATGCACCTTCGTATCTCTGAATCTGAAATACAGAATCAAAATCTAAGTTCACATTCAACTTTTAGGCTTTACACTAACCTTGAAGAATTTTACAAACAAACTTTATTACCCAATTTGTCAGTGAAGTAAGAAAATCTCTATACTCTTCAACTATTTTCACAAAGTGAACAAAAAACTAATCAGCTAGTATGTGTAGTGCAAAATAAAAGGTTTCCTGAATAACAAACAGTAAAAATCTCACTTTTTGGTCAGTCTTGTCTACATCAGTTTGTGGGAGGGCAAGAAGCATGGCAGATGTAAGCTCAACATTGTGACATTGTGATAATTAAGCTTTTGAATTGAATTTCATTGTGTTTTTTATTGATAATCTACATGAACTCAATACATATTTTTCATTGTTCAGACTCACCTGATATTCCTCATATGTTGCAATGTAATCTGCATAGGCATTAGACAGTCCAGCAACAACAGTGGTGGTGTTGGAGGGGAAACCATGCTGGATGGCAATCTAAAAAAAAAAAATTCCTGAAGTAGTATAAAACTTATCTAGTTATCTAATGATGTAAATGTCGCATACAGCTCTGAAGTATCCCTTAGCAAGTTTTGCTGCATGGAATATCAACTAAAGCAAGTCAAATTTTTGTCTGGTTAAATTTACACTAAATGTGAGATGTTATGTATTATTTGCAGTGAGTATGATGTTTGGTTTTAACACATGTATTTCATAATTTGCACATTTCATCAATTATATTAAATAAGGTCTTTATTTCTGTAAATTAGGCCTACGGCCTTATATTACAATCGATATTACTTATAAAATAAAGGTGTATATATTTGCTACCTCAGTAATTGCATTTCTCAACCTTCTTCCTGACATGGTGCTGAAAGATTAGAAAATCAAAACTATTTTTCCAAAACTTGAACAAATCAGAGTTTCATCAATTTTTTTACTTATATTATCCATCATAAATTTTCTGTGTTGAATAACAATGCTAATAACAGTCATGTTTGATTTGGTCTTTCAGGAGAAATACACATCCCCACTGTATATAAGTTACCTAAATTCTCCAGGAACTGCTAGTATCATCAGCTCCCCAATCCTCAGAATCTGAGTGGGAACTACACTTGGTTGCCATGGATATGGGAAAGAAATCTGTTGAAAACCACACAATATTGTGAGAACATTAAAGACCAAAAATCAGTATTTTCATAAGAGGTAAACTAAAATCAAAACTTTCATTAGATGCAAACTATAATCAAAACTAAACATGAAAGTTTTAGGTTTGCACTTATGGAGCTGTAGTATACTGGTACTATCAATTTGAAACTCAAATATCATGTAGGTATCTAAAGAACAGAAAAATCTACTGTTCAAACCATCTCATTTAATTTAAGCCAATGTGTTTACTCAATCAGTATCACTTTCACAGCCTTGTTATAAATCACCTCTATGTTATGGATCCCAAACTGGATGTAACAGGTTTTCACACTTACCTCTCCTGTGTTCAAGAGGATGGGCTTAGGATGCTGACACTTAATTTGTTGGGGAGTGGGTTTGGATAAGAAGTCACGGATAACATTCCAGAATGGGTTGCTTGTAGTTGAACCTATAAACATGTGAGGAGTGCGTTAGAAGGGATGGATAACGTGCACATTATTCTTTAAGTCTTCAGGGAACCATTTTCAGATTTAAGAGTGCAAAATGGAGCCATGCATGAATTGTTTGGAGATGTTAGCATGCAGATATTAAGAAGATGAACAAAAAATTACATCTTTGATGAGGTTGTCAAATGGATATCAATAATGACATATTGGAGTTTTTTGAATCAAATACTCCACAATACTTTTCCTCTTTAAAGATGTTATAAAATCTAATTCATTTATAAAATCAGAAAACTGTGAATGAATGACATAAGTCTGTGCATAGAAGTAGAGAAAGTCAGTGCTATCAAAATAAGTGCATTCCCCAGGGTATGAAAGGTTATTTATGTTCATTCAGACATCTTGTGGCATGCATGTCTCTCCTCTACCTCTCCAGTATCAAGAAGTATTGGTTTAGGATCATGACACTGCTCCTGGCGTGAACTTGGCTTCGTGACCATATTTCTTACCACATTCCAAAATAATGAGGTTTGCCGAGAACCTTTCCAAGCAAAATGTACATATACACATTTGTAGACTTGTAAGCATGCACTGGTATGCAAAGCAGAATATGAGCCAAATATGTAAAAACAAAAAACTGCACCCAATGTCTGGTCCAATTTGCAATTATGCACATTACCGCTTCTTACTCCTCAAGATTTTTAAGCCAAAAAAGGGATTCCTTCGAGGGCAACAGTCAAGCAAGCATAATGATAGAATTTGAATATTGTTAATTTTCTCACAACATATCTAAGCAGCATGCCTTCTGGTACTTAGTATCCTCAAAGTATTTATATCTAAAATTTTTATTAAAATATTGTTAAAAATATTGAATGATTATATTTCCAAAATATGAGACAACCAGAACATTATGTTTTTTTTTTACTTACATTAATAATAATGGTTTGGCTCTTAAAAAAGTGTCAGAAGATTTTTTAAAAAATTTACATAAAATATGTTAAGTAGAAACAAAAAATTGTTTGCATGTCTGCAACTCACCTTGTGTGAAGTCAAACATGCCTGGCCCATCAGTGGTTCCTGCAGCAAAACTATAACCCATAGCTGGAGGGCAAGTAGTGGCCTGAAAAAAATCACTTTTGTTAAAATACATTACAGCCTTAAAATGTTAATAGTGATTTAATTAAAAAAAGATGCAGTCTAAGATATTTTGTAATACTATACAAGGCAGCAAAGCTGTCAAATGTACAGACAAAAAAACAGAAAATAAAGATGCAAATAAGTGAAAAATTAAATTTTCACAAAAAACTGTTAAATTGCCAGAAAAATTTACCAAACAGACTGCGTTGCCTATTGAAGCTGTATGTTAGACCCATGTTTCTTTCCTGTAAGTTTGAGAACAGTAAGTGACATGATTTCCCTTAAATGGTCATCATAGGAGCAGTGCACAAAATAGGGTTTTTTTCAAATTTTGATGCAACATTACATAATGTTTAACAGCATAATGACAATCAAATGTTATTAATAAAATATTAGTAACATGGACATTCAGAAAATGTGACAAGCAAAAGCCTTCAGGATCATGGAACTTTAAAGTCACACCTTTAAAATGCCAATATGTGAAAAATTAAATTTTCACAAAAAACTGTTTAACTGCCA